AGATTTGATTAGATTTTGTACGACTTCTTGCTAGCAGTTTTAAAAAATTTTTTATATGTTTTATTTATTGCTCAAAACTTCTAATTAAAAGTATTAATAGATAGTAAAAAATATGTAGTTTAAATAATTTACAATAATCCACTCTAGTTAACTATTGTTAAAAAAGTAAATAAACTATTAAAAAAGTAAATAAAATTTGAAATATTCTAGTCTGCATAATAATAAAATTTTTTCTATTCATTTGGTTTGATTGGTTAGTGATCATTCTTGAATTGATATAAAGAAATTTTTGAAACTATTAGATCAGCATTCTATTACCATAAATAGTATGATCAGCACTGTATATTTATAGTATATTTCCTAACTAGTATATATAGTATTAGCTTACCCGATTACTAACTTGAGTATCTATGTATAACCTGCTATATGAGATTTTACTTTCTTATTAACTATCTCGCACCAGACTAGTTTTCAACCTTACTAGATAGTTTTCAACCCTATTTTTATCATATATATCCTGCTTATATACTACTATACAACGTCTACCAACTAACTTCTACTTCTCATCACTTATCACATTACTTGCATATTTGAAATCTGTGCCAGGTTATGCTGATTATGTCAAATACCTGACTGACAGTGCTACCCAGTAGCAAACAATAGATATTATGTTATGTAATTAATATGATTAGTGATTGATATATATTAGTAATATACATAATTAAATAAAAATTTTTTTTCTATTACCTATTTTCTCAAACAGGTTAGCTTTTACTTTGAGCAATAAAATTGAAGCAGTTTTCTTAGATTAGAAAGAAAATTAAACAGTTACATAATATTGCAATATTGATATGGATAGTAATAATGCTATAGAAAATATTTCACAAGTCAGTACATAACTGCTTTTGTTATATTAATTTTCCATAATTAGAAATTTCAGATTTGTAGTATTAATTTTGTAAAAACTCAATATTATTGTTATAGGTTTTCACTTGGGAGTCTTTACCTGAAGTTCTAAAGGCAGTTCTTCCTTAGAACTATATATATTTTATTCAGAAATTTAATAGTATGTTACTATTTCAAACACAAAAGCATTTTGAGGTTCTACAATTTGAGTTGGATATGTTTGTGAATGTTAATAGTAAAGATAAAGTATCCCGATAGGTTATGGAATTTCAATCTCTTTCTAAAACAACAATGCCACAAACAAAGAGCTACGAAGTTAAAGAAAATTGGGTTCTCTTTTGAAAAAAATGACACTGTATTCACAGCTATCAAGTTAAAAAAAAACAAGAAAATATTAAAGTAAAATATCTACAATCATTATGAATACGTGATATCAACTGCACTGCAACTATTAATTTACAATTAGAATATAAACAACTTCTATTTACCTATCCTTTTGAAGTAAATTTAAAATATACACATAATCATGTTATCAATTCAGTAGAGTTTTTGAGTTTTTGATATATTAAAGAAAAAGTTTTTAAAGAACTATTAGATTTTTTTAAAAATGGGTATATACCTGCTTTTGCACTATATATTTATCAGGATAAACTTTATTTTCAAGTGACAGATGAAAGTGAATTAGTTGAGCTTTTTGCAAATCGGTCTATAAATCCAAATTATGACTATACTGTTAAGCTTTTTCAAAAATACAGAGAAGCTACTTTTGGTAGCACATCAATGTTTGAACAGCTAGCAGAACTTGTTAAAAATTATAATAACTCAGATCAGGGAAAGGCTATCTTGCAAGAATATGATGCACATACTGGGAAAGCATATATTCTTTGCATAGTAACTAGTCTCATATATCAAATACATGAAAAAGTTTCACAAGCTAGAGAGCTTTGTTATGTTAATACCTCAGCTTTATTCGAACCATTAAATATTTCAATAACTTTTCTTTATACAAGCTGTGCGGTTGGAGCTTTTCTACTTGGATTGTTTATCACTTCAGATAAGCTTGAGATTACAATAGAAAAAGCAGTAAATTTTTTTTTAAAAAAAACTTTATTTTAATTATATTAATTTTAAATATAGTATGCTAACTTACAGTATATAATCTAATTAATAGTTTAATATATTAAAAACAATACTTTTTTTTTATGCATTTTATAATTGCAGACTACAAATAGAGCCAATACTTTTCCTTACAGATGATTTTAGTGCTGAAAGGAATGCATTTAAATTATGTTATCCAATAGAATTTGTCTTCTATGCACTTTTCATATTTTACAAGCATTTTGGAGATGGCTCTATGACTCCAAACATCATATTCGCAAGAAAGATCATGTACTTATTATGGTGAAAATGAAAAAGATTATTTATGCTTTATCAAATTCAGAAATGAACTTATTTTACTATGAGTTTAAACAAGAATTTTATTCTACTTATCCTCAATTACAAAAGCATTTCAGGCTTTTATGGAAGTACCGATCTTTCTGGGCACATTCTTATTATTTAGGGTTGCCTACAGCATAGTAGACAATCTACATTACACAAACCTTCTAGATTTGAAAATTGTAACTTAGAGCCAAGCTATCCAATAAAAATCTAGGATCGTCAATCACATGAAATTAATGGCCAATCATATTTATTATAATCGATAACAATCTTTAAAATCTTTATTTTACAAGATCGAAGATATCTCACGATATAATGACTAGAATTTAATAATTTTTGTATCATTCGATTCATCTCATTGAGATGAATCAAATATTGTAAAAATTATCAAATTTCAACTATAGATTAATGAAATATTACCAATAATCTAATCACCAATTTTGCTTATATTTATTTTATTAAAAATTTTATTTTTTTTACAAATTTATTATCTCTACTTAATTTAACTAATTAGACATATTCTTTAACACATTTTGTATTGTACCTTAAAATAACAATAGTTAAAATTTAGTAAAATATAATTTAATAAAAACGACATTATTATAATATAATTTTTTATATTTTAAAGAATATAAAATGTAGTTAACTTAGCCTTTTACTTAGTATTTTGCATAAATGTTATTTGAGATCATTTTGTGCTTCTTCTACAAAGTACTAGAACTTAGTTACATGCTGTTCTTTCTTATTTTAACACCAAAATGCCTTTGTGTACTTGAATTACAGGTTCAACCACCTTAGATTTCTTATAAACTTCATCTCTAATAAAACTGAGATTATTTTAGATTAATTTTAATAAAGTATAAGTATTCGAAAGTTCTTTCCATTACTTTTTTTTAAAATGTATTTAATTGGTAAATTTTTGAGAAATCACAGAAATAAAAAGTACTTTAATATATATAAATATAGTTAAAAAAAATTTTTTTATTAAGTTGGCTAAGCAACAATATTGATTACCAAAATTGAGTTTGTCCACTATGCTGTTGACTACACATAGAAATAATACAAATAATTATGTAAAGAGAAGTTTCGGAATTCTAAAAGATATAGTCTTTGCAAAAACTCAGGTATTTAATTCTATACAAATATTTCAGTTTATTATTATGAATATAGAAACATTTTTCATATTAAAATCAAAAACTTTTCCTGATGATCACTTGGACCAAATTTTTCTGATAAAAAGAAAAGCCTTTTTTCAATACTGGAGAGTAGTAACCTGTAGTGAGGTGAATCAACAGGGCAGTTTTTATAAAGATCAATCTTTTTTCTCAGTTTGGGGACTCCTTTATATATTTGACATGCAAGCCAAAAGCGTTTGTATACAAGATAACTGGCAGAAGATAGTGCTCTCGTATACGAAATTTTGGTGGATAGATGGAGATAATAGAAGTCCAAGCCTTCCGTCGATGAAGCTATTGGTTGTGAAACAACTGGGAATAGTAAAGAACAGGCTTCTTTTAAGCCACACTCCTTTTTTTTGGCCAAGTGGTACCTACTATCTTTTTTCTGCTTTCTTGTTTTTCTTCCAAATTTTTCGACAAAAAGTGGAGATTTGGCTTACCCTCTCCAAAAGATCAGCATTGTTTACTTTCTAAATTCGGACAACCTAATGAATTGCAACCACATGTTTTATGGATATGGCACATTAGGATCGGGCTCCTGGCATGAAACTCCTAATAATGGCAGCAGGTGGCTTGAGATATGGGTCTATTGACGGCGGCAGCACCTGGCTCGAGATATGAATTAGGATGGGCATGATATAGTTATTCGGAGTCGGTTAGAAGGTCAAAAAGAAATTTTGAATGTTAAGGCGAAGCTTTACAATAGAGATATACAAATATTGTATTTGTTATATAATTTTTATACTTACCTGGCACAGGTTATAATAGTGTATTTTCTTTTTCTTTCTTTCTTTGGGTGCGTCTATCAGAACTATCATATTCTTTTTTTTGCTTTTTCATCTTTTTTCTATTATGTTAGAATTCTGTTTAGGATTTTTTTAGTTATATTTATTTCTTTTCTTTTTTTTTGTTTTTCTCTTTCTTTTTCTAGATATAGTTTTTTCTTTTGTAAATGTGGCATATTTTTTGTTTCTTATAAAAAAGTAAGAGATTAACTATTCTGCTCAAATCTTGGTAGAAAAAGTTTTAAAGAAGAAATAGGTAGTTTTGATGGGCCAGCAGAAACCTTCCGGTGAAGTTTTATTTTCTTCAAGTATAGGAGTAAATATTATGGAGGAGAATTCTGCTTATAGCAAATCGCATATGGGTAATTTGAACTTTGGTTACAAAGAGCCGGGTAAGCTAATACTTGTAATTTAGACATCGTAAAGACTTGATCTTAGAGTCTCGTTTTTCGAAAATTTGTAATATTTCTCAGTATAATATTCCAAGCCTAATAAAGTAGAGACAAGATTGCTGAATTTTCAAAAAAAAAAAGAATATAGAAACATTTATAAATAACATTTATTTGATTTTGCAAATAAATATTCTGGACATCTACAAATTGTAAAAAGATTTTTTTGTCCTGGTTGGGAGAAGGTTAATGAAAATAAAATATAAAAAACAAATATCAATAATGAATTTCTAGTACCAAGCATGAAAAATACTAACCTTTTTTATATTGTAAATAGTGAACCTGACATATGCACTTGTCCTATTGAAATTTGCGGAGTCTCTTGTAAGCACCAAGATGCTGTGTCAATAAAATTACACATTTCGCTGCTTAATTATTAACACCTGATAATTATAAAATTTTTACTTATATTGCTCTTGATAAAGTAATATATAATTTAATTATATATTGCTCTTGGTAAAGTAATATATAATTTAATTATATATATTTGAAATTAAAGTTAATCTAATTAACTTTTTAGGGTGTGCTGCCAAAGATTGCTCTTTCTATGCTTCATTATGCCCACAATCTACTTCACAACCTTTACAATCTTTACAATCGCAAGAAGATTTACATGTTGAAATGGGTATATCAAATGATACTTAGAATATAATAGATATAATATAGAAATGCCTTTTATATTTTATTAGCCTAATTTTTTTCAATATTGAAAATCTATAATTATTCTTGTATTTTGTAGAGAACCAAATAATCCTAGTGAAGAAAACAACACTTTTTCATTTATGGCTTTTTTAAAAGAAGTCAAAAAAAACTGTCAAAATGGCAATTCTTAATTATGTGCTGTGCTTAACAAATTTTTAATGCATTATAATGCAGCAAAGTTAAAGTCTATTTTCCAACTATTCATATTTCTTTATGATATTGATTATACTTTAGACCCAATGATTCATATTAAAAGTGGTGTATCTATAAAAGTTCAGCCAGAATCTATTAAAAGGTACAATGTAAACAGATATGATTTCAAATGAAAGTCACAATATTTCACAAAAGAAAACGTAGATCTTCAGGTTATTCCAATCTGAAAAAAGAAGAAAGCAGGCAAAAAAAACTATAACTTAAGTGAAAGCATATCAGATAACTATCTGAATTGAAAGATATAAAAAATTTATTTTATATATTACTTCTTATATTACATTAATATATATACAGTATTTAATTTGCATTCATTTAATAAAAATTACAATAAAAATTTGATATATGCTTTAAGTTTATATGAGTTAACTGACTAATAGTCATAGTAATAATTTAATCATCAGTGTATCCTGGTACAGATTTCAAATGTGCACATTACTCCTAATTCAGTTCTTGTATTACTTCCAAATTGGTATTACTCTTTATGCTTCCAATTTGGTGTTCTTGGGAAGCTACTTTAAGAGCCTAGCTGTATTTCAACAGTTGCCTATGCCAAACTAGAATGTTATTTTACATCAATCCAGATATTTATATCATACACTACCAAATTAGGCTACTGCTCCTTTTATAGTACTCCCTATCAGTATAGTGTTACAAAAGTCTAGATTCTTAGAATAGGAATTATATATCTTATTTAATCATTGTTATAAGCCAATGATCTGGGACCCATGCTTCTGCTATATTTTATTATTGGCTTCTATATAGTTTGTGTGACACATTACATTTAGGCTATCTTTATTTTCGTACTATTAGATTACTTGTTTTTATGCTTTTTGAAGTTCTTTTACTTGTTTCTTTGTACCAAAGGTGTTCCATATTTGGTAAAGCTATCCTCTTACCACAGCTTCTTACTATGTTTACCGTAGGTTTCTGAAAATAAGCTACCTTTTTTGGCCAAAAAAGCAACACAAAAATCATGGGGGTAGCTTATTTTCGGGTAAAGTTTCGAAAAGGTTGATTTTTATTATTTTTTTAAAATCTGAAAGTAGTTCTATATATAAAAGTCAAAATTCTATTAAGTAAATCGATAAAGGTTACTTAATAGGAGTTGTTCAGGACGTAAAAATACACATATCTTGAAAGTTTGAAGCAAATTGGATAACTTTTTACTAAGATGTTTTTGCATTTTACGTTTGAATGTAAAATGCAAAAATATCTTAGTAAAAAGTTCTCCGATTTGCTTCAAACTTTCAAGATATATGTATTTTTACGTTCTGAACAACTCCTATTAAGTAACTTTTATTGATTTACTTAATAGAATTTTGACCTTTATATATAGAAACTACTGGATTTTAAGAAATTATTAGGAGTAGCTTATTTTCGGAATTACAAATTTTCTTATATTTCTTTTTCAAGAAAAAAGGAGGTGGCTTATTTTCGGAGGTGGCTTATTTTTGGCAATATACGATACTGCTTCTCTCACCACTTCTAAATATACCACATATAGCTATTCTTCCAATCAAAATCCCAATGCTACCTTAAAATTGTTGGTACTACCTTGCTAATCATAGATTTACACGTATAGCCTTCTGCAGTAAACCTTCTGTAATCCATGTTACACACAGTGCCCAAACTTCTCTATGGCTCGGGGTTCTTTTCAAGAATTCTTTATAGGCCAAATATGTATATCACATAGTCTTATTACTACAGGGTTTTATATTTGAAAGCTCTTGAAGGTTACAGAGATAATTAATTAAATTAATTATTACCAGCTATAATTGAACCGTTAACCTTGTCTGTAAAGGTTAGGCATTTAAACTACTAGGCTACAAGACCATAACTCTAAGCCCAAAATTTTTTTTATTTTTTTTTTTTAATTCAGTAGTTTTGCCTCTACTGTTTATTAGATTTACACTTAAATAATTTTTGGTTTCAAATATCACGAATACAGTTACAACTATCTAATATATATACAGTATTAGCTCACCCAGTTACTAACTTGAATACCTATGTGCAACCTGCTATATGAGATTTTACCTCCTTATCAACCATCCTGCAACAGGCTGGTTTCAAACTCACTGGATGGTTCCCAAACCTGAACCTATTTTTATCATATATATCCTGCATATATGCTACTATACAATGTCTACTAACTAACTTCTACCCCTCATTACTTATCATATTACTCCTAATTCAGGTCTTGTATTACTTTCAAATTGGTGTCTTTCGAGTAAGCGCTCTTTGTGCTTCTAGTTTGGTATCTCTAGGGAGCTACTTTAAGGGTCTAGCCATATCTCAACAGTTGCTTATACCAAACTAGGATGTTATTTCACATCGATCTAGATATTCATGTCGTATACCACCAAATTAGGCTACTACTTCTTTTATAGTACTCTCTATCAGTATAGTGTTATAGAAGTCTAAATCCTTAGAATGGAAGTTATATACCTTATTTAATCACTATCACAAGCCAGTAATCCAGAACTCGCGCTTCTGCCATATTTCATTATTGACTTCTATATAGATTATGTGACACATTACTCCTTGGCTATCTTTATTTTTATTCTACCAGATCACTTGCTTCTATGCTTTTTGGGTTTTCTTTTAGCCAGTTTTCCTTGTTTCTTTGTGCCAGAGGTTTTCTATATTTAGTAAAGCTATCCTTTTACTATAGTCCCTTACTATATTCACTGCTTCTCTTACCACTTCTGGAAATACTGTATATAGCCATCTTCCCAATCAAGATTCCAATGCCACCTTAAGGTTGTTGGTGCTACTTTGCCAATTGTGGATTCATATGCACAGCCTTCTGCAGTAAACCTTTTGTGATCCATGTCATATGCAGTACCTAGTCTTCTCTATAGCTCAGGACTCCTTCCAAGAATTCTTTATAGGCCAAATATATATATTACATGGTCTTACCACTACAGAGTTCCACATTCGAAAGCTCCTAAAGATTACAAAGATAATTAATTAATAGGTGATTCTTCAGTCACTTGGACAAAAATTTTTTTTTATATACAGTTGTCTTCCCTTATAATCATACAGTTGGATATATGCCAATATAGTAATTATAAAAAAGTGTGATTATATAAACTTTATCTCTATATAAGCACAAATTATATTAAATATATATAATGTGATTTAATAGAAGTAAAAAATAAATATATAATAAATTTTAATTTTTTATATATTTATCTTATAATTAATATACATGTAATCTATTATTAAATAATAATATGCTTATACATATTACTTACATACAGTAGTTTTTATGTGTACTAATAAAATTTGAAATAATCTTACCTTTGCTAATTGAAATATATAATATATTGCATCTATAATAAAGATGGCAATTTTAATAATACTTTATAAAATTTTTACATAATAAGTAAAAAAAAATGTTGCTTGCAAAAGTGATCTTGATTAGCAGAATTTAAACTTTAGAATCATGCCTTTCAAGTTGTACTATAATTCGCTGTAAATAAGAAAATAATTAATATCAATATGCAAGAACAGATAATAGTTAAAAAATTGATATTGTTTGCGTAAATTATTTTATAGCCTATCCATAATAGAATATATAAATCGTAACATAACTCAGATAGCTCAAAATAGCTTGAACCTAACTTGAATATATATACAAGCTATGTTGAGCAAATAAAGTTCCTACTCACCATTTTATTATAGATACACGATGTTACATATTTATATTTATTATTTATTTCCTCATAATTATTAATTATCTCTTCTGATTAGTAACATAAATCTTTATTATATAGTCATGAATGATAAATGAATCTCTATACTAAATTATTACAATTCTAAAGTTCAATAATAACTATATCAAATAGGTTAGTAATGTATGCTATATGCTAAATCCTTTCATTAAAATTTGGGTTACTTAACTTACTGAATTATAATTATGATTTCCTAAACTCAACTATTGAGTCATACTATTTAATGCTTATTTATTTTCAATAAGCGAATTATTATGATTATAGTGAGAAAATAAGCATAGTGTGGAAATAGAATTAAGATATCCTCCAATTGAAATATATTTAGTCTAATTTTTCTCTATTGAGAGTTGAATAAAATTATATAATGCCAAATTAAAGAGATCCATTTTATTTTACCAATAATCACTTCACTGACAGCTTAGTTCATCAACAATTACAGTGGTTTTCATAAATTCTGAAATACCCTAAAAAAATTTGCTGAAGTCTATTAATAAGTTATTGATTTCAGTATTTTTAGTGCATAATCAGTATATAAAAAAATTATTGTTATAGCACATTGTTCGATCAATATTATATTATATTCGCAACGTTAATTATTTCAACACTTCATTTTTTTTTTTTGCTATATCCAATATGTATGATACAAAAATTTATGCCAAAAACTGTTCTTGCCAATTAACTAAAAAAGTTTTGAACATAAGTTAGACTTTCTTAATAAACATATAGACATCAAGTTTGTTGTTTATTAAATACAATACATACAAAAATCAAAGAAAATTTTGTAAATTTGACTTTTAATACATAACACTACACTCTATATTATATGAGTAGGCACTAATAAAAAAAAAAGTTTAAATATGATCAGGGGTTGTAAAAAAATACAACACAAGTTGAAATCAGAAGTTAAGATTTTATTAATATTTGTTGATGATATTTTAATAATTATAATAAAGTTCAAAATATGTATAACATTTTATTTAAAATGGTAATTCA